GTGTGTGTGTTTTAAAGTCTGTATTGGACTACAATAATAATAATAATAATAATAATAATAATAATAATAATAATAGCAGCAGCAATGTACATTAAAAAACGGTGGCACCTCAATCACTTTGTTGGAGTTGCGGTCTTGACTTTTTGCCTACAACCTGTGAACACTCCTGCTTCTAAGAAAGACTTAGCAGCATCAAGCTAGAGTTGGCTGACCTCAAAAAGTTAAGAAAGATTAGATCTGTTTAGTAATTGGATGGAAGACCACTCAAAAATATTAGGGCTGTAGAGTGGACTGGGAAGGAAAAAAAAGCATCTGCTAGAAGAAAGCTGTAGCAAACTACTTTGATATTGTTGTGAAGAAAACAATGCTTTCATGTCCATAGGGTCATCATAAGTTGAGCCTGGCCTACAGGAGACTTTACTTGTACTGAGATTTAAATACATAGCACAATCTTCATCTCCTTGACTCCTATTGAGTTCTGTGAGGTTTATTGCCCTAGGACTACAACTCTAATTTTAAAAACAAATGAAAAACCTTCAGTGTTGAATCTTTTCCAGCTTTATAATAAACCAAGGAGCCAAGGCCCTCCAGATGATTTTAAAAAGACCCCCAAAAAACCAGGACCCCTAGGATATTCCAGACATAGAAAGAATTGTGAGATTGGTATTCAGTGTTCATCTTGGAAGCATTTTTTTTTTCCTTCCACCAGCTCCAGGGATCACAAGATTACTTTTCTAAACAATGCTTGCAACTGATGCTCTGTATCAGATGACCAACTCAGTCCCAGACCTTAAGTGTGGGAAGGAAAAGGCATTGGCCAACTTCTGCATTTCCAGAGGAGTGAAAAAAGGGGTTATTATCTTGGGTTTACCTGTCAGGAGCGCGTGATAATGGAGCCCCTTCTGCTTGTCCTGGTGAGTGCAGGCATCAAATAAATATGCCTTGATGGGACCATCAATAAAATCAGCAGCAAAATCAAACAGCACAATTCCCAGCATGGTAATAATTATAGCCCACATCTTCCAAGTGCCTCGATCAGCCACCAGAACTGGAAGAGAAAACATCTGGCTTGTTGATAGTTATTTCTTATACCAACGTTCCCCAGCTGGCTGAGGTTCAATTGACCCAGTGGGGGAAGTACTTTTGCAGCAAATAAATGCTTTTAAGTGCATGTAATTCAACTGGCACACCTAATGTTTAATCATGTGCACCATTACTAGGTTAAATCATGCATACTGTTACTAGAGTTCCTATCTGAATACTAACAGCATTATTCTCCCTGATTAAACTATGTGCTGGTTACAGCAGTGTTTCTTAGCCTTGTCAGCTTTCAGATGTGTGGACCTCAACTCCCAGAATTCCCCAGACAAGCTTTCAGATGTGTGGACTTCAATTCCCAGAATTCCCCA